TTTTCTAATTGCGAATGTGCGAAATCATTTCTATATTTTTGTTGATTTTTTTTTTTTTATCAATCTCAAGTTGATTGCTGGTTTTGTTTGAATATATAGATCTGAGTGAGTGATTCGAAAAAGGCGTTATGTTCTGTGTGCTTATTTCATGAAATGTGTGAGATCGCCTAGTTGAATTTATTTATTTTTTATAAATCCTCACATTCTTCAGAGTTCAATCTATACAGACTATCAAACTCAACATTAAAACAAAAATCAATTTCCAAATTTTTTCATGCAACACTAGAAACACCATCAATCCCCAAAATTGAAGAGCAAAATCAAATAAGAACGCAAGAAACATACTCAGCGAGATCGCCTAATTGGCGCAAGATTCCAATGAGTCTAGCAACATCGACGCCATCAAGGAGAGCTTTGGGATCGTCTCTATCAGCTTGCTTGTACAGCTCCGGTTGCCCCAATCGGAACTCATTCTGCAGCTGAAACCTAACCAGCGGCAATTATTTGATGATGGATTCCTATGAAGATTGCCATGGTCCTCCCCGTTTTGATCCAAGACAGCTGGGTTCCGCGTGAACCCCACAAGCTGGGTTTCGTGCGAACCCTGCAAGTTGGGTTCCTCGCGAACCCAGGCTCTTGGGTTCGCCTGGAGGTAAAAGAAAAAAAGAAAAAAAAAAGGCCGGAGAAAGGAGAAGCCGAGGAAGAAGACAAGGGTATATCAGTAATTAAAAGTAAAAAATTTAACATGTCATTAATTTTTGTCATATGGATTTTCCACATAATTTCGTAAAAAAAAAAATAAGTATTTCTGTTAATTAACCTGCCACATCAGCCAAAATTTAACAGAATGACTAAAAGGGGGCCGGATTTGTGAACAGTAATGACCAAAAAAAGGATTTTTTAAGTATAGGGACCAAAAAAGGGCTTTTTCCTATAGTAGAGGGACTAAAAAGGGTATTTAACCTTTTTTTTTTATAAAAAGCAGGGATCATGACGCTGAAAATGTGAAGTAGTCTTGGAGGAGAATGCAATGGCTATTGATCCCTTCTACTGAGTAAGGCAACAATCCTCCCAGTTTTTATTTGTCAACTACACGGTAATAGGTGTAGTCTGTCTCCCCATGAAAACAGAAGTTAACATATAAATAATGTTGGAACAAATTACTTGAGATTTTGGTTAACTCACTAAAAGATTAAAAAATTAATGGAATAAAAAAATGCACCATCACAAGAAAGACAGACAGAATTTATATGGTTCAGCTACAATTTAATTGAGTCTATGTCTACGGGCACTCATAAAAAAAAATTCACTATTAAAATAGAGAAATATAATTTGTGGTACTCTCAGAAAAATATTCAATCTCCAATTACACTCAAATCTTACTCACTGTATTTTTTAATATGAGACAGACTCAAAAAACACACTCAACAAAGTAACTTTAACTACTCTGCTCTTGCTCACCCTCACCCAAAGCACTCACAAAACTCTTGTATTTTCTTAGAGCTCACTTTGCTTTGGATTGCTCTCTTGGTGTCTTTGCCGAATGGCCAAATGGCTTTTATAGCCAAAAATCCACAGCCCAAAATTAATGAAATGTGCTACAAGGTCAAAATCCAACCATGCACAATAAATGCAATGGCCTTCAAAGTCTTAACCTTTAATTTCATGGATACATGCAGAAGCAAAATCCATTTTTGTCAAGATTTTCTCCTGCACCGTCTTGCCAAATAACCATCACTTTCAACTCTGCACTTTGCATGCATTAAACTTTAAATTTTAAAGTTAATGATATCAATTTAGTTAAGTTCTTGTTGGTATGACTATGAGAATATTACAAGTTGGTGGGAACAGTTCTTTAAGGGAGGCAAATAAGAGAAAATTCAGAGGCTTTTAGATGGGGTTTTGAAAACTTAACCATGAGTATATGGCACTAGCAGATGACACGGCCCTCCTTGCCCCAGTCTCCACTCTGCATCTCTCTACTTCATGAATGAGACATTGGAGGTCGGCTGCAGAATACTTCTCGAAAGGTATCACCCGAAGCCTTGAGCTCTACACTAACGTAGCTTTTCCGATGGGCTGTTTGGCCGCTTCAAAATGGAACATACAGAATAGATGAGTGGAAAGCCATTTAGTCATTGATATAGAAAAATGACACAAAATATTATATGCACGAAATTATAGAAATTACAACCGTAAATAAATATAATAAATGTAGAAAAGCTTTCTGTTGAATGAGGCAGCTTTAGATCAATGACTAGATTCTAGACGCTTTTTAAGGCATACAACCATATGCAAAAAATAAGCAGAACACACATTTCATAGTATCCAATTTTGAACATCAAATAAGAGAGAACAAGAATAATAACAGTATGAATTTAGAAGATGCGAAGCGAAGCTCATGCAAGCCAAAGAGCTTAGTTTGAGAACATGACTGTTATAAAGTCGAATTTCCCACTTGAACGTAGGATTAACTGCTATGTTTACCTTCTTTCTGTTATAAGTCTAAGGGATTAGGCATTTAGGCCCAGAAATTAATTACCATTTCTTCTTTCTGTTGCCTTCACCCTTTCTCAAAAATTAAGTGTTAGATTTTTTGAAGCCAGTTTCCGCAATCAAAACTAAGCCTTAAAGTGGTCCAAATGCCCACCCTTGAAGGGTCGAGACTCCTTTTTATTCTTCTTCCTTTTTAATAAGCATCTAAAACAAAAAGGACTCAGAAAGAATCTATGATTCAAACTTATGGATGACATTATGACACATGAACACTTTCTGAGTTCTCTTTCAAATTCAGCACCATGAATCTAGGTGGAGTGATGAGAACATTTCCGTTGGCGCATCTTCTTCAAAAGTAAATTCATCACTCAATGGCTTCGCTTTTTTTGCCACCACTGAATCAAATTCCCAATTCGAAAATGGATAAGAAAATGAAGGGCAGCTTTACATTTTTCTAATATAAATCACACCACAGCTATACCTTCCACCATTGCTCTCACATTCGGTTACCTTAGTTAAACATTTAAAGTAAAAATGGCTCAGGCGTCTCTTCATGGAAAGCTGCAGTATGATGTAGAGTACAAGGTTCCTGCGGACAAGGTCTATGAGTTCTGGAGCTGCAATTTCAGTGATGTCCAAAAAGCCTGTCCTAAAATAATAAACAACATTGAGTTAGTCCAAGGTTGCTGGGGAAATGAAGGCAGCATTCATGTTATGACATATACCATTGGTATATGTTAACTGTTAAACAACATCATTTCATTTTCTGCTATACATGCAACAAGGATTAATCTTAATTGCGTTTCAACTGACAATGTTATTCCTATGTTTTAATGTCGAGCAGATGGGAAAACTGAAACTTGTGAAGAGATGGTTGAGGCAGTGGATTACAAGAAGAAATTTATAAGTTTCAAAGTCATTGGTGGGAATCTTTTGGATTACTATAGGTGTGTTAAGTTCATTCTGGGTCAAGTTAGTCCCAAAGGAGGTGGGGGTAGCTTGGCAAGCTGGACTTTGGAGTATGAAAAGCTGGATGAGAATGTTCCAGATCCCATCGCGTTGCGTGATGAAGCAGTTCATTTCAATAAAGCCATTTCTGCTTACCTCTCTCACGCTTAAACAGAGAAACCTCAAGTGTGCCAGGTCAGCCATAAGCTTTGTTAACGATGAGTATGTAACAGTATGACAATAAAAGCTAGCAAGTTTTAACTGGCCTGAATAAATGACATCTGATTTAGGTGTGAGTACCTGAATGAAGCATTGGATCGTAATTCAATGGCCTCTGTACCTCTTGCTTTTGCATATTTGGACTCATAAAAACTGTTCATTCTCATCTCAACACTTCCTGAGTTTGATCTCTTTCAAATTCTGGCCATTAATCTAGGATGCTGAGAACATTCCAATAAGCATCTTTTTAATGGCGGCTGTTCAAAAAAATAAAGCATCTTCTCAATGGCTTTGCTTTTATCTGCAACCATTGAATCAGATTCCCAATTCAGATATGGAAAAGAAAATAAAGGGCAGCTTTACATTTTTCTAATATAAATAAACCCCAGAAATACATTGTTGTAGCATCTCTCACAGTCTGTTTCTTATTTGGTTAAACATTTGTCATTAAAATGGATCAAATCTCTTCAATGAAAGTTGAAGTACTGAGTAGAGTACAAGGCTCCTACCGACAAGGTCTAAAGTTCTTGATGCTGGAACCCTTGCAACTTCAGTGAAATCCTAAGCCTGACCTAAAATAATACCTACAGAACAATGAGATGGTACAAGCCTGTATCCATGTAATAGCATATGCCCCTGCTATACACTAGGCGATACCATTTCACATTCTGCTACATCTGTAATAAGGATTGTGTTGAAGTATATAT